GCCCAATGGCGCCAATGGCGTTTCGAGGGAGGTAAAAATCGCGTTCCGGGGGGTAAAATACATGTGTTTTTCCCTGTTGCAAGATACTTGTAATAACCTGAAAACAATATGGCAGAAGGATTTGGGGATTAATATTCATGATGATGACTGGCTGGATATCTTATCTAATGTGGGTAAGAACATAAGGGAAGCTAGGGGAAAATTCATTCATTACAAAATAGTACATAGATACTATTATACACCATCTAGACTTTACAGGATGGGGATAGCTGGATATAATCTATGTTGGAAATGTAAGGAAGAAGAGGGCACTTATTTACATATGATTTGGGGAATGTTCTTTAGTTCAGCCATTCTGACGTAAAATTCTGAGAATACTTGAAGAGTGGTTGGGCTTTAATTTACCTGTGGAACCACAAATATGCCTTCTTGGAGATAAATCAGTTGTACCTAATATAGAAAAAAATGCATTTACCCTTATTAAGATTAGTTGTATCGCAGCTGCCAGGATGATCTTACGCAATTGGAAATGCCCCAAAACCCCTGATTTGAAAGATTTGATCCATGGGATGATTGAAATTGCATCATATGAGTGCATGTTGGGGAGACTGCAGAGTGAGGGAGAAATGAAAAAAACATGGGATCATTTTTGGCAGCATATAAAAATGGTGTGATGAGCAGGACTTCTTAACAACTGTTTAATTTACATGTGCTTTGTTTTGTTACATTCATGGTGACAAGTGGCTGAATATGTAATTGATTGGAAAGGTGAATATGGAATACTGTGGTGATGTACGAAGTTATGATTGTTGAACAATAAAAAAGTTGAATTACAAATTTAAAAAAAAAAAAATGAATAAATACATATAATAGTGCTTCCTCTCCCTTTGTGTTCCACATGGGTTTGAAAGGAAATGTGAGAGTAAATGATACAATTTTCATTTTTGGGTGAACTATCCCTTTAAATGTTCAGCTAGTCAGTGCATTGGTTTGATCTGGTTCCTCCATGGCTTTATTGGTATTTCATCAGATGTTTTTGTTGTGTTTGTAGGGGTGTTTCTTTTCAAGGCACCATCATTGGTCTGGCTCCCCTTAAAGCCATGTGTTCTGAATACCAGTCTGGTGGAGTCAATTCGGTAAATTCACCTACAGCATTATTCCAGTTTTTATAGCCATGTGCGCTCAGTTTTTGTTTCATCTGCCTCTCTCTCTATAGGACCACTCTGACAGTGCTGTGGGGGTCGCTGCCACCATGGCTCATGAGATGGGGCATAACTTTGGGATGAGCCACGATAGTCCAGGCTGCTGTCTCGCTCAGCCCGAGGATGGAGGCTGCATTATGGCTGCTGCCACAGGGTGAGAACCAAAGATGCTATATCATTTTAAGCCTGCATAACATTAGTAAATGATTACAGAATTTCCATTTTTGGTGAGCTGTCACTTTAAAATCAACTTGACATAAAAGTCAATGTTCTTCAGGGATCCGTTCCCTCGCGTCTTCAACCCCTGCAATCAGAAAGAGCTGAAGCGCTACCTGAGCTCCGGCGGGGGGAAGTGCTTGTTCAACCCTCCCAACACCAGGGTCATGTACGGGGGCCAGCGCTGTGGAAACGGATACCTGGAGGAAGGAGAAGAGTGTGATTGTGGGGAAGTGGAGGTCAGGAGAGAGTTTCATTGCTTCCTCTGTCTCGTTTTCTCCCACGCTGTTATTCCGATTGATCTTTCACTCTCACATTTTCCGTTTCTGTTTCCTTTACTACAAAGGAGTGCTCAAGTCCCTGTTGTAATGCCAACAACTGCACGCTGAAGATTGGAGCGGAGTGCGCACATGGAGTTTGCTGTCATGAGTGCAAGGTGAATCCCTGCCAGACTCATCTCACGCTCTTTCTCTACAACCTTTCCTGTGGTGCTGCATCAGGAAAACTGTCAATTAAATTAAAAGTAAAGTAAAGTAAAGTAAAGTAAAGTAAAGTAAAGTAATTTATTTAAAGAATTTTAGTGTGAATTTTTGAATATAATTTTAAAGTGGTGATTTAAAGTAAATAATTAAGCAAACAAACAAACAAAAAAGGATTTTAGTGTGAATTTTTGAATCTGATTTGTAAGTGTTACTTTAAATGGTGCGAATGAAGGAATAAATAACTGTTTTTTTTTAGTGTTTTGTGATTTTGTGATGAGTTTAATTAAAGTAAATAAGCAAACAAACTAACAAATAAGGATTTTTAAAAATGTTTTGATGACTTTAAATGGTACGAATAAATAAACAAACAAACAAACAAACAGCATGTGGTGTTGCATTAAAGTTTAGTTAGAGGGTTTTTAAGAGAGTAGTTTAAGTAATATTTTGAACCTTAATTATTAATTCATTATGTCAACTAATACAACAAAGCTTTTATACTCAAGATTTGCCCTTAAAATGTTATAATATTATTGTTTAGAATTTAGACAGGTCTCAAATGTTGAAAGTGTAGTTCTCTGGCATTATTTTAAGAAAAGCAGATTGTATTGTAAATGAGTACAGTTTGATCGGTTTGTTTTCTCACACTCTTGACCAGCTGAAGAGTCCAGGAGCGATGTGCCGTCCACCTTCAGGCTCCTGTGACCTGCCTGAGTACTGTGATGGGAAATCAGAGTCCTGTCCTGCTAACTTTTACCTGGTGGATGGCAGCAGTTGTGCGGGTGGCAGTGCCTACTGTTACACAGGAATTTGCCCGACACTGGAGCAGCAGTGCCTCTCTCTCTGGGGCAAAGGTCTGTGTGGTGCTAAAATCTGATAAAAGTCCCACAGTTTAAAAGTAACACCATAAAACCAATCACCCAATATTCAGTGAGTCACTGTCTCACTCTCCACAAATATAGCAGTAAATCAGAATATTAGAATCAATTCTGAAAGAGTAATGATGCTGAAAAATTAGCTTTGCATCACAGGAATAAATTAAAATTATATATTTTTTTCCTTTTTCCAAAGGAAATCCATGTGTCAGTGTACTGTAGTTTACTGTATGGCAGATACTGTGCTTGGCTGTGATCTTAGTATCTGAATGTGAGGCCATCTGCTGCTCTCTGTAGCCATCAGAGAAAGCATTTGAGTCCAGCTGAGATATACCTCAGATTATAACATTCACATAACCATTAACTTAAGACATGAGATTATGTGTTTGTTCTGTTCTGTTTCTGCTGTAAGGCTAATTTTCTGCCTCTGTGTCGTAGATGCCCTTCCTGCTCCTGATCTTTGCTTTACTGAGGTAAATAAAGCAGGTGATCCCTATGGAAACTGTGGCAGTTTCATGGGTACATACAGGAAATGCACTGAAAGGTGAGATGCACTTACTTATAGTTAGACTACTGATCAAATGTTTGGAATAATTATGATTTTTTTTAATGTTCTTGAAAGAATTCTCTTATGCTCAACAAGGCTGCATTTATTTGATCAAAAATTCAGTAAAAACGGTAATATTATCTAATATCATTTCAAAATACTGTTTCTGATTGTAATTTTAAAATGTAATTTATTCCGGTGTTGCAAAAGCTGAATTTTCAGCACCTTTACTCCAGTCTTTAGTGTTACATGATCCTTCAGAAATCATACTAATATTTGGTGCCCAAGAAACATTTCTTATTATCAATGTTGAAAATAAATTTTTGCTGCTTAATATTCTTGTGGTAACTGTGATATGGTACCATTCAAAAGTTTGGGGTACGAAAGATGTTTTAAAAGAAAGAAAAATAAATTGTTATGCATTAAAAACAGAAATTAAATGGACACATTAAATGCTAATAATATTCTTTTAAACGTTCTATTTATCAAAGGATCCTGAAAAAATATTAAGCAGCAAAAGCTGTATTCAGCATTGATGAGAAGAACTTTTATATAATTAAGATTATTAATATTTGAGTACCAAACCAGCAAATGATTTCTTGAAGATCATGTGACATTGGAGACTGCTGAAAATTCAGCTTTGCCATCACAGGAATGAATTGCATTTTAAAATGTTTAAATTAGTCAACCGATATTTGTTTTTCAGGCCCGATTATTACAGATCAAGTAGATCAATAACCGATATACATGTCTGGTGTAAAAATGAAAATTAATGCCGAATTTAAAAATAACAAGGGCTCTGACAAACCTTTTTTAAATGCTTTTAAATTATTTAACTGGCAAATCGGTTTTGAAAATGACCAATACCGATAACCATAGAAATGCTTAATATCGGTGCCGATAACCGGTCGACCCCTTATTCAAATATAAAAGTTATTTTAAATTTTTTATAATATTTCACAATAGTACTGCTTTTAATGTATTTTTGATTCAATAAATGTAGCCTTAGTGAGCATCAGAGATTTCTTTGAAAAGCATTAATAAATCTTAATTATTCCAAACTTTTGACCATTGGTTTATGTCATCATCATTTGGGCCGATCAAAGACGTTTTGTTGGTCTTCTGTTTAGGAATGCTAAATGTGGGAAGATTCAGTGTCTGAGCGCTGCCAGCAAGCCTTTAGAATCACACGCCGTCGCCATAGACACCAACATTCGGAATGGTCAACAGAAGATCCTGTGCAGAGGGACACATGTGTACCAGCGCGGTCAGGGTAATGAGGAGCAGAGTGACACCTTAGACCCAGGCCTGGTTCAGACTGGGACCAAATGTGGGAAGAATGCGGTAGGTACTGATAGACTGAATAGATCTATCAATTTAAGTATATTGAGAATTTATTTAATTAACGTTTTGCCTCATTTTCTATCTGAACAGATCTGTTTTGAAGGGGAATGCCGCAATGCGTCCTTCCTGCAAGCCAATGAATGCAGTGCCAAATGTCATGGCCACGGCGTAAGTTCATATTGCTTATTTATATGTAGAGCTGGCTGAGCTTTATTGTACATACATGGTCATCTTATAGCTACTGAAGCATGTCCTGTTAACATCATTTCCTCTAACGGTAAATACTCACTTATCTATAACGATAAGTGAAAAAAATCCCTCACTATTCTCGCTATTAATCGCACAGGTTAATATTTATAAATATGTCTGATTCCAATGTGGGTTGTGTCTATATATATCACTAATTCAAGTGATGAGTTCAGTTGAGGATATGACGAAAGTGTGTGGGGAAATTTCAGTATTTTTGGATGTGCTAAACTTACAGCAAACTTCAGTAGTGTAATCAGTTCCACTGAATGCAGGTCACTATTATGTTACTTTATAAGGCAGTGTGTTTTACAGTACTAAATGAATATCTGTATTGTGGGAAAGATAAAAAAAAATAATTTACTCACTCTCATGTTGTTCCCAAACTATATGATCTTTTAAAGGAATATTTTTGAAGACTTTTTAAGCAGCTTTTTCCCCCACAGTGTCTGCCAAGTTCCTAAAAGAACAAAAAATACATAAAACAAGCAAAGAAAGTACTGTAGTCAATATTTAGCGTGCTATATGTTCAAAGTCTACTGAAGCAATATTTTTTTTTGAGAAATAAATATTTAATATCAAATATCAATAATTACTGACAATCTTTCCCTCTGCTGTAGCTACATCAAAGCTAATGTAATAAGTCTAATCTAATGGTCTGTTCTTTTTAGGTTAAATTTTTGAGTGATCTATTCCTTTAAATTGTTTTTCAAAAAAAATTTTTGTGTGTTTCCCTGCAGCTTTGTAATAATAACCACAACTGTCATTGTAACTCGGGTTGGGCACCACCGTTTTGTGAGACGTCGGGTTCAGGAGGAAGTTTGGACAGTGGGCCTGTGATCACACACAGTATGTCAACAGGCACTGAATAAAAATTTATATTTCATTGAATGTTATCTTGAATTTGCTCTTTTGTTGATGCATTTTGTTCTTGTCTTATCTTATGCAGGCAACCTTTATCTTGTTCTGGCTCTCCTGATTCTGTTTTTCCTTCTGGGATTGGCTGTCCTCGGTGTCTGTTGGTGCCGCTGCAGACAGAAGCTCCTTTCCACCAAAAGCCCCACCCTTCCTGCTACCCAAATATGCATCAAGTAATCTAAAATCCTAACTGTGAAATGCAAACACATTCATGCAGTGATCTTCATGTATTTGGCACTTCTTGCATTAGAAAATGTGTTATTTCTCTTCTTGTCAGTGTTCCAGACACCCCTGAGACTAAAAGTCACACCACGGGTCACGCCAACCCAGTGTTCCTGCCAAAGAAATCTCATGCTGATGAACAGGTGTGAAGTTGTTTTGTTGTCAGCGTGGGCTCGCAGTATATGCATCCAAAAGCACAGTTTCGTGGATCATTGGCTTTGTTCCGACAGCAAGTAAAAATGTTCTGTATCCAACTCAGTTCCATTTAGTTGTCTGTTGATCAAACAGCAACAAACCATCCATATCAGTGCTGTTATTAACTAAAACTAAAGCTATTAAAAATAATTTTCGTTAATTGAAATAAAGCAGAAAAAATTGTATATGAAAAAAACTATACATAAAATACAATGAAAAACTGGAAATGTTACGTTACATTGGCAGCTAACAGAAATGAATAAGTTAAAGTTGAACAAAAATAAATAGAAATATTTTAAAAAGCACAAAACAAAATTACTAAAATGTTAAATAAAATAGAAATGAAAACTGAAGATATTAAATATTAAATATTAAAAGCTAATTCAAAATTATTAATAAACACTGATCCATATGTGTTTTTTAAATCTTATTAAAATCTGATTTTTGGGAATGCACTTCAGTCTGAACAGGCAAGTTGGATTTCAAGTGGTTTATTCTGTCATTTTGGACACAATAGAAACTAACCAGAACTTAGGGGAGAAATGCCTCAGATATTTACAATGTGTGAGCAAAGATACCCATGAAACTCTATTTCAGGGGTTGAATATCAACCCATAATAAAAACTCATACTGACATGAGCAGAGAAAAAAAATCCTTCGTCCATCTTTCAATGCAATGACAGCGACTCTTATATCTCTTGGCATTCATTCATTACTATAGCAACTCATACTAGAAATAATATAGACTACACTGTCTGACCAAATAGCTCCGATTTGATTACTTACAAAATGATAGTTTGGAAAATGCATTTGAATTGGTGCAGCCATTGTCACTTGAAAATGACCAGCATTCCACCATCCCAAGAGTCCTTGTGAAATGTATTCATTGTTATGATAAAATTGATTATTCATATTATATTTGCATTCTACAGGCCAGTCCTCGAGCGAGTCCTACAGGTCCACCCAGATCCAGACATTCTGTCATTCGACCCACTGTGAAACCACCTCCAATCCCAGCCTACGCTGCACACAAGCAGAGTTTACAGCATTCAGAGTCGCCCCAGCCATCTCCATCAGCACCCCCCAAAACAAGACCGCTACCACCCAACAGACCCCCTCCACCCTGTCCCATAACCAAACCCTCCCAGCCTGCTGAGGTGAGTATCTTCCTGAGCAAATGCACCTCTAGATCAGTCATGCAGTGCAATATTCCTTAAAGGGGTCATATGATGTTGCTAAAAAGAATAGGGATGCACGATACTGAGCTCCTGTACTCGTACTCGTTAAAATGCCCCGATACCAAACACTGATAAGACAATTTATAGGGGCATTCACTATAAACGTCATTTATTTTCACCCTTAAGCATACACCACTTTCTGGCGAAAGTGAATCTAACCGCCTGTGTGAAATGTGCTAGGCTGTACTACTGTCCTCTCATTCTGCACCAGTACAAATGCGTGCACGCGTTGCGCGTGTTTTGCTTGCTTCATGAGTGTTTCTGCATTATATGAGTGGCTTTGGAAAATAAATCGCAGCATGTTTCAGATGAAAAAAACGCGACTTCTATTTATGATAATATCACAGTTAGGAGATTTATAGCGAGTGGTTCCCTGCATTATTACAGCAAAGCGCGTGATTACAGTACTAAGCCGCTGCAATGGAGCAGCTCTAATGCTATTAAATTAAAGATGATGTACCATAGAGCAAAAAATGAACAGTGAAAGTAACTTGGAAGGCCAAACAAAGTAGTTTCGCTTTCACAACGAAACACAGCGTCACACACGGCGGCCTTGAGTGAGCAGCGGCCGGCAGATTTGACGAAGGAGCAGCCGGCGGGCTTGCGGCTCCGCTCCGGATATCGTCCTCTTTTGGAAGGCCAAACAAAGTAGTTTCGCTTTCACAACGAGAAACAGCGTCTTCACGACATGGTGGCGGCGGCAGCAACAATACTACAGCGAGAATAAAAGTTACGCCTTCTTCCTTTGCGTGAATCTTTGGGGCCGCGTCATGCAAATCTTCCCACATCGTGACGTAGGCATGTGGGGGCGTGTTGGAACGAGCCGTTTTAGGTAGGAGTGGTTGACTCTTAACTTTTATAAAGAATATCTCTTTGGATTTGAGACTTTAGTCTTTGCATCTTTACAGATCTTCTTTATGCACCAAGAGCTTGTAACACTTCAAAGAGAAAGCAAAAATTTAAATCGGATCATATGACTAGTCATATCAATTAGTCTATCTGCATAATTGTAGTGGATTGACAAATATTTGGTGTGCCAAGCAGGTTATTTAATCAGGCAAATGTTCTTTCAAGTCTTTGAGTCAGTCGACCCTACAAAGGATTCACACATTTAATGGAGTGGAAACCCTGTTAAGAATATGGGTGAAATATTAAGGTACAAACAGCCAGGGAACCATACAAAGAAACGGTTATTCACTTTTAAGCAAAATACAGATACAAAATAGTTAAGAAATGTAAATACTCAATTCAAAATTTCAATTAAGGAAAAGGCTTCACATGACAATTGATATTCAACAATTCAGAATTAAACCAAATTCAGTTAATTCCTTTTCATTTCAGATCACTTGGGTTGTAAACCAACAGTTCTTAATTAGTTTGCTGTGCAAATCAAATGAAAATTGAATTGGTTCACTGTTCAAAATAGCAGTTTATAAATCAGTCCATATGCAATCAAGCCTTCAAGAACCCTCAAGTTTATTCAAACTAGCACTACGCTAATCAGTTCATTTTGCAGTTTGAAGAGATTTCTTGTAACAGTTCAAACAAACATCGTACTTGCTCATGAAAAACCCACCAAAAGAATATAAAAAGCAGCAAATACCCGTTTCATCTGCTCTTCCTTGCTGGTCCCATCAGTAGTTTTCTGTTACCATCCAGCAAACTTCCAAACAATGTCCATATATTCCAAGACAGTCGATGAACAATCCTTTTGTCAGCAGATATAATTTTCCCAACACATCTTCTGCTAAACGACCATCCACCTAAAAGCATCTGGAGATATACTTTCCACACCTTTCCATTGTGCAATGTATCCATGTGGGCCTGCCATCTTGGATTCTTAACATGCCATGTGTTTACCAGAACATCATGTGACTCAAAACATCACGTCCGTCACATAATAAATGAACTGTTCACTGACTATGATTGTGCATTATAAAATATTTGTCGTGTTTCATCCAGATGCTGCCTAAGAATGGCGTGCCAGTGTCACCAGCCATGTTGCAGAAAGGGAAATCCAATCTGATGCCCCCTTCTGGGCCTTTTCAAAATGTCAGGTAATGGGAAGGGAGAAGTCATAAGCACAGAACACTAGCATGGTGTTAGGAATAATAATAATTATCAATCATTAGTTGGTAATTCTTAATATGATTGTGTTTTAGGTTCCAAAGGGAAGTTTCTGGAAAGAGCTTAGTCGCAGTGAAGCCTATTGGAGCGCTGTATTGATCAACTCTGCACCTTTAAGATGTCCTTAAGAGTGACCAATCAAACTGCCTCACTCATAGTGATGCCCGCCTTATTGACTTGAACACAGAATGAAGGATACCTTCCAACTTTTTTCAGGGGGTGCAGTTCCACTACTCCTGTGCCATATGTTGCATTTGCTTTTTTATGTCTATTTATTACAGAGACCTCAGAGAAAAGAAAAACAAAAAACTAGGAAGTATGGCATTATAATCCAATAAGAGCATGGGTCATCTGAAAGAATATCTTGCACCGAGAATATGAAATGTACATTTTTGCACGCAGTAGTAAAACATTGTAAGTAAGTGCATTATATACATAGAATGAACTGGAAAATTGGAGCAGATTTGTCTAGTCTTGAACTAACTTGCACTGTCAGTCCAATTTAGTTTAGTACTATAGATAATCTGTACTCAGGAAATAGCTCTGGAAAGGGATATATAAAAAAAGATAAAAGATTGTTTTCATAGCAATAATAATTCAAATACTCATATGAATTGTATAGCACTGGGTTAAATTCTGTGTAGTCATATAATATGTATAGTATGTACTGTATAAGAAGTTAAAAAAAATAGCCTGTCTTGAATGGTGTTTGCGATGATGCTGGACAAGAAAGGGTTAAAATCTCATATGGTGCTTTGCTTTTGAAATCTTAAATGAGAGAAACAAATATTCTCTAACTACCTTTTTAGATAACGCTCGACTAAATGTTCTGTTTAATACGGGCATTAACCCAGGGAATGTATTTAGGTTTAAATAACCTATAAACATCTAAATATGCATCTTAAGTTTTTTTTTCCTTTGGTTGTCAGTTATTTGGGGGGAAAAAATCTCTGGACAATTCATTATAATTTCTCCTTTCATAATGTTTTATGACCTACTATGACCAATGTACTGGTTTTCTGTCAGATTTTTCATGTTGTAGTTAAACTTATTTATTCATACTGTTAAATTTTAAAATGCAATGATGCCTTAAATTTGGGTTTACATGAATGTTATTTTATTGATAATAATGTTTATCATGGAAGTGTGTATGTATTGTGAATGTAAAGGTGGCTTGATATTGCACACTGCATAGGAAGTCAGAAAAAGTCACTGTCATTTTTTATTTGGCTTAATTTTAGTTTCTTTATTAAAAATAAAAATGTTGTCCTATGCAAAATGCTGTAATGCAGTGCCTTCCACGTGATGACAGAAATAAATTTTCATTTTATCATTAATTAATCTTCAAATTCATTTAATTAATCTTAATTTAATCTGTATCCATCTATTCAATTAATATTTATATTCAATTAATATTATCTATATTATTTCTTCTTCTTCTTGTTATGATTTTAAATAAGAAAATTGGTGTAAATGCTTGAAGTAGAATATTTATATTTTTCTGCCTTTATGCAGAGTTGCACTTTCGAATGGACTAAGTTACTGCTTATATTAGGTTTTAATGCAAAGTCTTATGATCACACACGCACAAAATAGTTTTTGCTTATGTCATCGACCTACTGCCACAACTTTTTAACTTTTGACTTTATTTGTCTTCTCAGACTAGGCGTATCTAAATATAAAAAGGGTTGTTGACGCCTCAAAACATACATTAAAACGATCTTTTTGCGGTTTCATTGAGCTGTGCAGTGTGTCGGAAGTCAACGCCTTCATACTCCTGCGGGTGACTTTTATTTTGAAACGCTGAACTTCCTGTCCGTCATTTTGGCAGTACGTGTTGTTCTTGTTCTCGATTGGATACCCTTGCGCTCGCTTACAAAAACCGAATTTAACAAAGATTTATCGGTGTTTCCGACTTCACTAGCATACCACCAACGAATATTTAATTTAATAAACATGGACCAAATGGAAGACCCCGCTGGATCGGATAATAAACGAGCTATAGAGCGGAAAAGGTAGGATCTCTCTTGTAAACAACGGCCTGTTTATCAGCGCTCGGAAGCTTCTAGTGTTTGGATCGCAGCCATTTAACCTATAAAGAACCACTTAAATCCAGTATATCGCCGTTTAATGTCAAATTGAGCTGGATTAACGTCACTATAAGACATTATTATATTACTATCAGCTTTTTAATGGTGCACATTAACGTTAGCTGTTGGGAACAGTTAAGCAATGTCGTCAGACTGGTGTATCGTGACCCCGAAGCTCCAGCATTACAGCATTTATTATTATATATTTTTGTTTTCAGTTGAGGTCTTCCTTTCCCTTAAAAGCGTTTCACTTCAGATCTTTTTTGCGATATCTAAGATCTTTGTTATGTGTTGAAATAGCGTTAGATGAATAGCCATGCGCGTCATGTTGTTTTGCTGTATTGCTGTTATATATAGTACTATGATAATAGACCATGATAAACATTTCCCATGGGAGGGACCTGCAATTTTATGACGCACCCTTGGTAACATATTAAACCGCTGTTTTCTTTCCTTTTTCTAGGAGTTGAAGATGCCAAAGGAGGACTTCAGAGAGGACAAGCTTTCAACATCAGCACCGTCCATCACTTTGTCCCTCCCCCAATCCCCTAAACATCAGGCACAGGTGGAAACACTCACAGCCATGTTTTGTAGATTTAGACAGTGTTCAAATACATTATTGGATTTTTACGTACAATAGAACAAACTACAATGTAAAATATTATTATGAAGTAATATGTCTCTCTTTTTTTCCCTGACAGGCACTGGTTTAGCCAGAGTCCTCACCCCAATACTCCATTTAAGTTCAGCAGATTCATCACAGGTGTTTTGATGGGAGGTAACGAAGGAGGTGGACAGGGAGGAGAGCGATGGAGCCTCTTTGGAGTGCGGCCCATCGTGCAGAAATCCCCCACTGACCCAGGATCAGAAACCAACACACCTGGCAAGAATCTGTTATATGGATATATTATTTTAGCTTTTAAAAATGCCTAATTTTAACCTCAGATTTGTTTGTTTATCCTTTATACAATATTTGTTCAGCAACTATATTTATTTATTTATTTATTTAGTTTATTCCATTGTGAAATTAACTATATCATTGCCCATTTTTTTTAGTTAAAGTTGGCATGTCCAACTTTATCAGCATACATTCAGTATACTCTCATTTTTTTAGAATATATAGCATATTTCAACTGCTTTTTCGAAGATGTCAATAAAACATAAAAGAATATTGGAGTATGTTTTAATTCAGTGTGTTTAATTTTGTTCAAGGTGTTATTTTCTAATTCTTTGTTTCCATGACTACAGGGGGATTCACGCTGCACTCATACTTTGGGGTTCAGAAGTCCAATACGATGGATGCCATAAAAACCCAAATAAATCTCACGGTTGAAGATCCCGCCAATTTAAAATCTCCCAAGATCGAGATGAGCGGCGAGGACGGAAAGAAAACATCCTGTCACAAACTGAGACATCGAGACATGAACATTCTCACTCCTTCCGGCTTCTGAACTCCACAAGTCTTAAACTCTCCCAAGCTTCCTCGCCTTTTATATACACATTTCAGCACAAAGTGACTCAGCTGTCACTTGCCGTTTTAGGGTCTCTTGTGAGTAACAACACCCCATTTTATCCTGCTTCCCCATGTAACTAATAGAATTTCCCTTTAAATTAGATAAGAGATGTAGAATCTCTTAGATTAGTGCCAAGCTTTATTGATAGTTGTTTTTATTTGTTTTATCCCCTCAAAAGACCACTTTTTTAGCATTTTGAATGTTGTTTGTTTTTTTTTATTAGTGTGTGCTATGACAAAGTGATTGCTAATGATTATTGTGGTTTAAATCTACCACAGTAAAAACCTACAGAAAACTGCAGTCAAAATATGCATAATTATCAATAGGCTTGTGTTTTTAGGCATGAGATGCGTTCACGAGTACATCCGTTAACAGTAAATCTGAATTTTGTGGACCATTTTGAAAAGCTTGTGTATACTTGTGCAGACCTGTTTCAACAGCATTTTGCATTAGGTTGATGGATTTCATCAGTGCACATATAGTAGTTATAAAGCACATTAGCAGCATAACGTACTGTTGCACACATCTGTTTATTGACACTATAAAACATGCAATCCAAAAGTCAGATTTGACTAAACAGTCAGGTATCCATCTTTCCATATAGTTGAAACATGTTTAAATGCCATTTTTGTAACTTAACTGAACTGCTTATGTAGTTCAGGTTACTAATTTATTTTATTAATTGATGACATTCGATTAACGTAGTATTTTATGTGGTGTGGTTCCCCGTGTGCAATAAGCTACAGCATTGTTTTTATCAGCATGCTGAAAGCACCTAATTTCTATCACTGGGTTTCACACTTCATTTTATTAATTTTTTTTCATATAGTTTTGTGGTATTGTATTTTATTATTTGTATGTACAGTAAAGTACTATTTACATGGTTGCTGTACATTCTGAAGCTGGAATCATTTTACTGTTGCTGTTTTGTGCACTTGTAGTGGAAATGCTTTGGCTTTACAATATTCCACTTTGTTTAACTTGACATGTTGTTGTTTGTTTTCTGTAGGGCTTGAATCTGTTTTTAGTATGTTACATTTTGTAAGACCGAAGTGGCTTTTGCATCTCAGGCCAAACTGTATAACAGCAGTCATATGTTGTAGTACTATCACATATTTCCTGTTCATATTGCTCAGTTTGGGTATTTGATTCCTATAAAAAAAAAACATCGCTGTCAAGCACAATGAGCAATTTTGATTGTGATTGTATTTGATTTATTTTCCGAAATGTGATACTAAAATAATAACAGTATGACTGTCTCTGCAATTTATATATATATATATTTAACCATTGATTGATGTATGGTTATATGGTTTGTTAGGATGGGAGAATCTGGAATCTGAGGGTGCAAAAAAATCTAAATATTGAGAAAATCTCCTTTAAAGTTGTCCAAATGAAGTCCTTAGCAACACATATTACTAATCAAAAATTAAGTTTTGATAAATTTATGGTAGGAACTTTACAAAATATCTTCTTAGAACGTGATCTTTAATTAAAATCCTAATGATTTTTGGCATAAAAGAAAAATCGATAATTTTTTTATCCATACAATTTATTGTTGGCTTTTTTATTATATATACTGTATGTATATATATATATATATATA